TAATGATGAGCGCGTTTTTCCCGGCCGTAAGCATCCTTACGGCCTGAAAAAAAACACGACGACGACGACCACTACGACGACCACGACGACGACCACGACGACGACGACGACGACCACGACGACGACGACGACGACGACGGCGACGGCGTCGACGACAACGACGACGACGACGACGACGACGACGACGACGGCGGCGGTGACGGCGACGGACAACTGGTGCGTTTGGACCCCGGGAGGGATCTGGGGACCCGTCTTTGGGCCCCTCCGAGGTCTCTGGGAAGGGTCCAAGAGGGCCCCTAGAGGGCTCCCAGAGGCCCCCAAGGGGGCTCCAAGAGGCCCCCCATGAGGGTTCAGGAGTACGTTATAAAACAATCTGTTTTTATAAGCTGCCCTGGTGCCCTCTTGGGCCTGTCTTGGGGCGCCTTTGGGCCCCTCCGAGGGCCCTGGGAAGGGTCCAAGAGGGCCCCTAGAGAGCTCCCAGAGGCCCCCAGAGGGGGCTCCAAGAGGACCCGAAGAGGGCCCAGGAGTATGTTATAAAACAAGCTGTTTTTATAAGCTGTCCTGGGGCTCACTTGGGCCCGTGTTGGGGCGCCTGTGGGCCCCTCCGAGGGCCCTGGGAAGGATCCAGTAGGGCCCCTAGAGGGCTCCCAGAGGCCCCCAGGGGGGCTCCAAGAGGCCCCGCAGAGGGCCCAGGAGTACGTTATAAAACAACATGTTTTTATAAGCTGGCCTGGTGCCCTGTTGGGCCCGTCTTGGGGCGCCTTTGAGCCCCCCCCGAACCTTCTGGGAAGGGTCCAAGAGGGCCCCTAGAGGGCTCCCAGAGGCTCCCAAGGGGGCTCCGAGAGGCCCCCAAGAGGGCCCAGGAGTACGTTATAAAACAATCTGTTTTTATAAGCTGCCCTGGTGCCCTCTTGGGCCTGTCTTGGGGCGCCTTTGGGCCCCTCCGAACGCCCTGGGCAGGCTCCGAACGTCTCGGGCCTGTCTTGGGGCCGCCTTTGGGCCCGTCGGAAGGCTCTGGGAGCCCCCCGCCCTCCGTCGAGGCCCCCCGCGGCACGCGCGGCCCCGGGTGCAGCTGGGACCGGAACGTTGCTCCCTGCAAGGGTCCAGGAGGGCCTCTCTCGGGCCCTTCGCGGAAGCCCTCTTGGCGCATGGGGCAGCCTGGGGCAGTCTGGGTCAGTCTGGGTCAGTTGGGTCAGTTGGGTCAGTTGGGTTAGTTGGGTCAGTTGCTGGCCCAGTTGCTCCGCCCACCCGTTTCAGTTGCTCCGCCCGCCCCCCGGCCCCCTTGGCAGTCTGGGGCAGTCTGGGGCAGTCTGGGGCAGTCTGGGGCCTGTCTGGGGCAGTCTGGGGCAGTCTGGGGCAGTCTGAGGCAGTCTGGGGCAGTCTGGGGCAGTCTGGGCCAGTTGGGGCACTCTGGGGCAGCCTGGGGCAGTCTGGGGCAGTGTGGGGCAGTCTGGGGCAGTCTGGGTCAGTTGGGTCAGTTGGGTCAGTTGGGTCAGTTGCTGGCCCAGTTGCTCCGCCCACCCGTCTCAGTTGCTCCGCCCGCCCCCCGGCCCCCTTGGCAGTCTGGGGCAGTCTGGGGCAGTCTGGGGCAGTCTGGGGCCTGTCTGGGGCCAGTCTGGGGCAGTCTGGGGCAGTCTGAGGCAGTCTGGGGCAGTCTGGGGCAGTCTGGGCCAGTTGGGGCCCTCTGGGGCAGCCTGGGGCAGTCAGGGGCAGTGTGGGGCAGTCTGGGGCAGTCTGGGGCAGTCTGGGTCAGTTGGGTCAGTTGGGTCAGTTGCTGGCCCAGTTGCTCCGGACACCCGTCTCAGTTGCTCCGCCCGCCCCCGGCCCCCTTGGCAGTCTGGGGCAGTCTGGGACAGTCTGGGGCAGTCTGGGACAGTCTGGGGCAGTCTGGGGCAGTCTGGGGCGGTCTGGGGCACTCTGGGGCAGTCTGGGCCAGTCTGGGGCAGTCTGGGGCAGTCTGGGACAGTGGGGCATTTGGGGCGGTCTGGGGCAGTGTGGGGCACTCTGGGTCAGTTGGGTCAGTTGGGTCAGTTGCTGGCCCAGTTGCTCCGCCCACCCGTCTCAGTTGCTCCGCCCGCCCCCCGGCCCCCTAGGCGCCACCGGGGGCGGTCTCAGTTGCAACTGGGGTGGTTTCAGTTGCTCCGCCAATTGCTTCCCCTCCTCCTCCTCCTCCTGTTCCTCCTCCTCCTCCTCCTCCTCCTCCTCCTCCTCCCCGCCCCGGTGCTGTGCTCTCTGCTGCTGTGCTGCTGCTGTGCTTTCTGCTGAGCGTCACGTCCTCCACCGCCTCCTGCGTCTCCCCCCAAACTCCTTCGCGTTAGCTGAATTGTTGAGCATTGGAAGCTGGCTCCCCTCAGCCACCCCATCCCCGCTCCGCACGACAGCGGCGGCAGCGGCATGGCGGCATGGCGGATGGCATGGGGCGGCGGCAGCTGCATGGCGTTCCGCGGTGTGCTCCTCCTCCTCCTCCTGTTCCTCCTCGTCCTCCTCCTCCTCCTCCTCCTCCTCCTCCTCCTCCTCCTCCTCCTCCTCCTCCTCCCTCTCTTCCCCCCCCGCGCGTCATCCCTATCCTCTGATGTTCCTCCCCCCTCTCCATCCCTCCCGCTTCTCCTGGCCCCCAGGGCATGATGAACCCAGCCATGCAGATGGCCATGATGCAGGGCATGATGCCGGGCATGCCGCCCATGATGCATCCAGCCATGATGGAGAGCGGGGTTGCGGGCCGTGAGCAATTGAATGCCGAGGGGTGGGACAGGATGAGGAGAGAGAGGTGTGACGAAGCACGCGGAGTGGAACGAGACGTGCGGGGGAGAGGTGGGGATACTGGGGTCGGAAGGAAACGAAGAGTACGCATAGCAAGGCTAGGGAGATCGTGCTCTCGGCCCTTTCCGTCACCAGGCATGGGTCGTGGGCAAGAGGTCCTTGAGAGGTCTCTTGGGGTCTATTGGACTGCTGGCGGTCTCGGGGGCCATCATGGGGTGGAGGGTTCCAAGAGTTGAGTCGCTTCGGCGTTCCTCCCTTCAGGCCTTCTCGTCGCCGTCTTTGGGCCCTTTTTGGCGCACCTTCGGGGTTCGGGGGCCGTTTTGGGTCAATCTCGGGAGCCTCTTGGGCCGGTCTTGGACGCTCTTCAGACCGAAATTGCGAGAGTGTTGAACGTCATGCAGCCGCTCGCTATTTTTCTCCAATTGTCAGGCTCTGATCGGCCCACTCAGTTTCCAACGGAACGCCCAATACAAGCCACTGGCGCCATCTTTCGGCACGTTGGTCGGCGGCGCGCCGAGGGGGGAAGTGAGCGGGGGCAGGCCTTCTTCTGAAGGCGGCGGGGCTTCTCAGAAGCCCTCTCGGAAGCCCTCTGTGGCTTCGAAGAAGGCTCGGAAGGCTTTTCAAAATGCCCGAGGCCTTCTGAGACTTCTGAGACGGCCCGCCCCCTCTGCCTTTCCCCCTTGGCCCGCGCCGCCGATCGAGCCCCAGAAGCGCCCACGAGCGCTTGGAGATCTGGAACTCTGGGGTCTGGGGAGGGGCTCGTCAAAGGAACTTACAAGCCCAAACAGCGCAAAGCAAGAGCAAAAGGAAGGGAGGGATGGAGGGAGGGAGGAGAAAGGGGAGGGTCACGGAGCAGGGGATGGGGAGGGGGAGGACGAGGAATGGGAGGGGGAGAGGGAGGGGGAGGGGCATGTGGAGGGGGGAAGACGAGGAGAACAAGGACTGGGGAGGGGGAGCTGGTCGTAAGTTTTGCTCCCGCCCCGGCCCCGGAGGCCTCCGGAGGCCCGACGAGCGCCAAAACCGTCAGCAGGCCTCGCGTCTCGGCCTTGGCGGGCCGAGGGCAACACCCCCGCCCCCTGCCTTTCTGGAAGGGGAAGGGGGGAGGGGAAGACGACAAGCTGGATGCGCTCGCGCCACATCTGACATCCTATCCCTCCCTCCCATCCCTCTCCATCGCGCTGATTTTCTCTATATCCGCGGACGCGCGTCGCAGCCGAACTGGAAGCCCATCACCCTACCAAAGCACCCCGAGAGCCCGAGAGCAGCAAAGGTGACATGTGGGACCTGTGGGGCATGTGGCAACTGTGGGACTCATGCGACATGTGGGACCTGCGGAACCTGTGGGACTTCTGTGGCGTGTTGGACTTGTGGAACCTGCGGGACCAGTGTGGCAGGTGGCAACTGTGGACTTGTGGACCTGTGAACCTGCCGAACTTGTGGAACCTGGGCGACCTGGGGGACCTCTGTGGCCTGTGTGGCCTGCGAGACCTGCGACACCTGCGACACCTGTGGTACCTGTGGTACCTGTGGTGCCTGTGCTACCTGTGCTACCTGTGGTACCTGTAGGAATTGTGGGATTTGGGGGGGGGACCTGTGGGACATGCGAGACTTGCGGCATCTGTGGGACCTGTGGAACCTCTCAAGGTTGTTGTGCTTGTGGGACTTGTGGAACCTGTGGGACGACCTGCGACACCTGTGGGACCTGTGGGGCGACCTGCGACACCTGTGGGACCCATGGGACCTGTGGGACCTGTGGGACCTGTAGGACCTGCGGGACCTGCGGGACCTGCTAGACAACATCAATCATCTAATATTGGCATCCTGTGTGTTAGAAGCAGAACGCGGAAACAAAAACAGCCATCTTCCAGACAACCTAAGGGAAGAGAGGAGTAACATGTTATTGTGTAACTGTGCATGACAAGGGAGGGGGAGGTCTTCTTCCTCCTCCTCCTCCTCCTTCTACTTCTGCTCCCTCCCTCCTTCCCTCTCGCCTCCCCCTCTCGCCTCCCCCTCTCTCTCTCTCACCCCCCCTTCCTTCCTTGCATACCCCCTCTTTCCCTCCCTCTTTCCCTGCCTCCTTCCCCCCGCCCCCCCCCCTCCCACCCTTCCCTCTCCCTCTCCCTCTCTCCCTCCCTCAATCAGTCCCTCCCCCCCATCAGTTGCACCAGCGCCGCAATCCAACAACATCCTCTCCCCCCCCCTTCCCTCTCGTGGAGCAGGGGGCGGGGGGGCGCCAGGGCATGATGCAGCAGCCCGCCCCGCCGCCGGCCGAGAAGAAGCGTAAGAAGGCGCGTTCCCGCGGCGGGCTGCGACCGCCCAGGCTTCGGGGCCCCTGGGCCCTACCTCGGCAGGCGGAGCGCCTGTCTCCTCCTCCTCCTCCTCCTCCTCCGCCTCCTCCGCCTCCTCCTCCTCCTTCTCGTCCTCCTCCAGCCGTTCTGGCTCGGGCATCGGCTTGCGCTTGCAACCGCGAGCTTCAGAACGGCGTTGCTGTTGCGGGTCTGTTGGCACGGCGGCGATCTTCCACTTTCTCAACTCAAGCCGAGGGGCCTCACCCCTCAGTTCGATCGGCCGCGGATGGCCCCAGGTCCCCCGGGAGATGGCGCAGAGCTCCCGTGGCGTACGGGGCGTCCCTTCCAGCGAAACAGCACGTGGAGATGCAGTGCGTGCGGGCGCGCCAGGAACAAGATGGCGAGTTACATACGTATGCAAGCATTGAGGCGAGGCCTGGTCCAGGCCAGCGGCGTCATCCTCATCCTCCTAGTGGCGTGCGGGTTCAGGGCCCTCCGCCGCGGGAGCGCTCATGCCAGCTCTCACGCAAGGCCTGCAGCCGAGTCCACGCGGCAACGGCCTCAAGGGCGGCTCCAAGGGCGGCAAGGCTGACACCAAGGGCAAGGGCAAGGGCGAGTCTGGTGGCGCGACCTTGGTTTGTACGGGGTATTTCTACCAGCCTGCCCAGCCCACGGGTCCGCTTGGAGGAGTTGTTCTCCCTGGTCCAGCTCCGTCCGCTGGCCACTTGTCCATCTCCGAGTTGGAAACCTTCGCCGAGCTGCACAAGAAGGCGGGCAATGCGACAGAGGCTCATCGGTATCAAGTCCAGCTCTCGGCGCTCAAGGCTCCAGCGAAGCCCGAACAGTACTTGGAAGAACAATTGGCTCGAGTTCAGCGTGATCGAGTCAATCTCGGCAAGAATATGCAACGGGAGTTCGGGCAACTCGACTCTCTCCGCGCCAAGGCGGCCGCCCAGGAGGCGCTCATCGTGCAACTCAACAAGGAGCTGGAGGGCCTCGACATGGCACGCGACGAGCTGCCGGAGAAGGTCTCGGCACACGGGAAGCAAAGGCTGACCATATCAGCTCCTCGGCCGGGCCTGCCGTCTCCCTGCCCGACCTTCTCTCTGGCAAGATCGACGCTTTCGAGCTGGGCCCGGGCGACCCTCTCGACCTGGACCTCGGCGCGGGCACGCTGGGGGAGACCGACCTGGCGAAGGCGGCGACGAGGAGGGAGCAGCCGGTCAACGGGATAAGCTCCACGGCGAAGGACCTCCCCGCGAAGGCCATGGACAACGTGCAGTGCGCCGGGGCAGCCCGCGCGGAGATGGCCAACCGTCTCAAGGCGAAGCGTCGTCGGTTCGAGGGCGACGGCGGTCCTCCTGGAGGCGATCTCCCACAGGGCGCTGCTGGGGGCCTGGAAGCCGCTGCCGACAAGAAGGGGTCCAAGCCCGAGTCGGCCCCTGCAGGCGGCCCAGGGTCTTCGGCGCTCGCGGAAGGATCATCGGCGACGTCGGCTTCTTCCGCGGCCGACTTGGCCAGGATGCGCGAGCAAGCGCGTGTTTTGGCGGCCGAGCAGTCAGAGCGTCAAGGGCCCCCTCCCCCCTCCCGCGCCGTCTGCGTGAGGGGGGCGCCCAGTCGATTCCTTTTTTTCTCGCGGCTCTCAGAGCGAGGGTGGAGTTGTCCGCGCGGCAGCTTTCCTGGCCCAGAGCCCCCTGGAGCGCGCTCAGAGTGCGCGCTGTCAACCGTCCGCGCAGAGGGCGGCTGATGCTGCGCGGTTGCTCGTCGTTCCGTCCTCCGAGATTCAGTTCCGTGTAATTTTGCCAGATCGTGCGAGCTGCGGGGAGGTTGCAGTTCGGGGGCCGCGCCGCAAGGGCCACCCCTGGACCGCGCGCAAAAGGTCCAGTTTATCTGACCCGAGGGCCTCCGCTCCGAGCTGCCCCCCCCCGCCCCCCGCCCCCCCCCCCCCCCATCGGAGCAAATGCCACGTCGGAATTGCGAACCCCCGCGCGCCCTCCTCTCGCGAGCCCCCCCTTCCGATCGCTGTGGATGCTGCGATCGGCCCTTCGCCTGGGCCTCCGCGTTACGAGGGGTGTTCACCGCTTCTGGATCAGGCCCTGGCTAAGGCCCAGAGAGGGGACGCCGACGTTTTACAAGCAGCGGGCTAACACGATTGAGAGAGAGAGAGAGAGAGAGCAGGGCAATGTGATTGGCACGTCCCTCCCATGCTGTGGGGCTCGGGGTAAAGGAGCTGTCCTGCGGTGGAGGCCTTCGTTGGGGCGCGATCACGGGTCGGTCCGCTACCCCGTGCTCCGCAGCATAAGGTGGCTTTGGTCCGCGTTGCAATGTTTCCCAACCCTCCTTGGTTGGGTATTCGTTTTGAATAGAGGGGTGCGGTCGCGTCCTCCTCCTCCCGCCCCCCCTGTGGTCGCCGCCCCTGGGGCGCTGCGACCTGCGATACTGTCGCCGCTTTCGAGGGCTGCTGGCGGGTCCAGCGGAGTGAGGCGCCGCTTTCGAGGGCTGCTGGCGGGTCCAGCGGAGTGAGGCACCGCGCAGATCTGAGCGAGACCTCGCCGTCCATTGGGGGCTGCGATCTGCGCAACTGCTGCCACATTCGAGGGCTGCTGGTGGGTCCAGCGGAGTGAGGCACCGCGCAGGTCTGAGCGAGGCCTCGCCGTCCTTGGGGGGCTGCGATCTGCGAACTTGTCGCAGCTTTCGAGGGCTGCTGGTGGGTCCAGCGGAGTGAGGCACCGCGCCGATCTGAGAGAGACCTCGCCGACCCTGGGGGGGGCTGCGATCTGCGACACGGTCGCCGCTTTCGAGGGCTGCTGGCGGGTCCAGCTGAGTGGGGCACCGCGCAGATCTGAGCGAGACTTCGCCGTCCCTGGGAGGGGGGGGGGCTGCGATCTGCGCAACTGCTGCCACTTTCGAGGGCTGCTGGTGGGTCCAGCCGAGTGAGGCACCGCGCAGGTCTGAGCGAGGCCTCGCCGTCCCTGGGGGGCTGCGATCTGCGCAACTGTCGCCGCTTTCGAGGGCTGCTGGTGGGTCCAGCCCAGTGAGGCACCACGCAGATCTGAGCAGGACCTACCGCGCAGATCTGAGCGAGACCTCACCGTCCCTGGGGGGCTGCGATCTGCGAACCGGTCGCCGCTTTCGTGGGCTGCTGGTGGGTCCAGCGGAGTGAGGCACCGCGGGGATCTGAGCGAGACTTCGCCGTCCCTGGGGGGGGGCTGCGATATGCGAACCTGTAGCCATTTTCGAGGGCTGCTGGTGGGCCCAGCGGAGTGAGGCACCGCGCAGAGCAGATCTGAGCGAGACCTCGTCGTCCCTGGGGGGCTGCGATCTGCGACGTTGTCGCCACTTTCGAGGGCTGCTGGTGGGCCCAGCGGAGTGAGGCACCGCGCAGATCTGAGCGAGACCTCGCCGCCCCTGGGGGGCTGCGATCTGCGAACCGGTCGCCACTTTCGAGGGCTGCTGGTGGGTCCAGCGGAGTGAGGCACCGCGCAGATCTGAGCGGGACCTCGCCGTCCATGGGGGGCTGCGATCTGCGAAACGGTCGCCACTTTCGATGGCTGCTGGTGGGCCCAGCGGAGTGAGGCACCGCGCAGAGCAGATCTGAGCGAGACCTCGCCGTCCCTAGGGTGCTGCGATCTGCGGAACTGTCGCCACGTTCGAGGGCTGCTGGTGGGTCCAGCTGAATGAGGCACCGCGCAGATCTGAGCGAGACCTCGCCGTCCCTGGGGGGGCTGCGATCTGCGGAACTGTCGCCACCTTCGAGGGCTGCTGGTGGGTCCAGCGGTGTGAGGCACCGCGCAGATCTGAGCGAGACCTCGCCGCCCCTGGGGGGCTGCGATCTGCGAAACCGTCGCCACTTTCGAGGGCTGCTGGGTACAGCGGAGTGAGGCACCGCGCAGATCTGAGCGAGACCTCGCCGTCCCTGGGGGGCTGCGATCTGCGCAACTGCTGCCACTTTCGAGGGCTGCTGGTGGGTCCAGCGGAGTGAGGCACCGCGCAGATCTGAATGGGACTTTGCCGTCCTTTGGGGGCTGCGATCTGCGACACGGTCGCCACTTTCGAGGGCTGCTGGTGGGTCCTGCGGAGTGAGGCACCGCGCAGATCTGAGCGGGACTTCGCCGTCCTTGGGGGGCTGCGATCTGCGACTTTGTCGCCACTTTCGAGGGCTGCTGGTGGGTCCTGCGGAGTGAGGCACCGCGGGGATCTGAGCGGGACCCCGCCGTCCCTGGGGGGCTGCCATCTGCGACACCGTCGCCACTTTCGAGGGCTGCTGGTGGGTCCAGCGGAGTGAGGCACCGCGCAGATCTGAACGGGACCTCGCCGTCCCTGGGGGGCTGCGATCTGCGACATTGTCGCCACTTTCGAGGGCTGCTGGTGGGCCCAGCGGAGTGAGGCACCGCGCAGATCTGAGCGAGACCTCGCCGCCCCTGGGGGGCTGCGATCTGCGAACCGGTCGCCACTTTCGAGGGCTGCTGGTGGGTCCTGCGGAGTGAGGCACCGCGGGGATCTGAGCGGGACCTCGCCGTCCCTGGGGGGCTGCGATCTGCGACACCGTCGCCAATTTCGAGGGCTGCTGGTGGGCCCTGCGGAGTGAGGCACCGCGGGGATCTGAGCGGGACCTCGCCGTCCCTGGGGGGCTGCGGTTTGCGACACTGTCGCCACTTTCGAGGGCAGCTGGCGGGTCCAGCGGAGTGAGGCGCCGCGGGGATCTGAACGGGACCTCGCCGTCCCTGGGGGGGCTCTGGAGAGCTGCCGTGGGATACGTTAGGCGCAACGGGCGCACGGCACAGCCAACGGGGGTGATTTGTGAAACAGACATCTTCCGGGCGATGGCCATAACGTTGCGCCTACACGTATCCCGCGGGGGCTCTCAAGAGCTGCTGTGGGATACGTTGGGTGCAACGGGCGCATGGCACAGCCAACGGGGGTGATTTGTTATTACGTAGCCCTTAGATCTTGATCGGGGGCCCGCGAGCCTTCCGATTGCTGCTCGCAAAATCACATGC